TGTGTAAAACAAAGTTTCTGCCCTCGTGCTGCTTAAATTCTATAAAAAGACACACAATGCACTACAAATATGGAATGTATGCAACCATTTCAGCTCTTTCTTCAGTCCATCAAAGACAAACACATGGTGCTTTGGTCACAAGTAGACCCAACAAGCACCTACCATTCACAGCAGAATCCAAAGCACCAGATGGCCGGACTTTTAAGATAGAATATGGAGGCAGAAAGGAGATCCTAGGCACAGACAGCCCAAAGATACAACTTTTTAAGTTCTTCTGAGCCTTGGTTTTGGTCCACTGGCCCCAAATAAAGGAGTACAGAGTACATCAAGTCTTAAAAGCACGACGGAAAATTCTAAATCGGTGAGAATGAGCCTATTCATTTCAGAAACATTCACAGAGCAGCAATGTGTTAGAGATTACAAATTCTAGCATTTACTACAAGGGGATTAAACCTGTATGAGAAATGTACAATTTACTTTTTCCCTTACATTACTCCTTGCTTCCCACGAAACTATATTCATAAACATTGACACTCCCCCCCCCCCAAAAAAAGTCACCAATGAAAAAACTCTGTAAATGGAGAGGTTACTAGAACATAACCTTTAACAAGTGAGAAGTATTAATCACTGTACTATGAATTATACATTTTTATTTAACTAATTTTAAATTAATTTAAAATAAGCTATTTTGTTATGTTCATTAAAATGTTTACCTACACCATGCTGGCCAGATCATAGCTTCATTATATGAAAGTGTCAGATTCAAACAGAAAATATAATTATTTAAACTTTCCCAGACGCGGTAATTACACTGGCACGCTACTCACTCCCCCTTCAGAAGGCTGGGTTCAGATCGGTGAGACCACTGCCTCTCTAGTCCTGTGTAGTTCTAGAAGCTGCACAGAAAGTTCAGCAGGCCTGACCAACCAGGATCTGCCCCTGTGGGCCAAGAGACCCACGGCAAGCTCCTCAAACTCCAAACTTCCAGTGTTTCATCTGTAACACGAGGATAGAAATAGCGCAACTCAATGGTTCTCATGAGGAATAAAGGAGATAAAGCATGAAAGCAATCAGCTCCGGTCTGGCACGTTTCATCCCCCAGATTTAATTCGTTGGTAAAAAGGCCGTAACACCTACCAACACCACACAGTACCCACACAGCTACCCAGTAACATTACATCTCTTCCCCTATCAGTGGATAATAGTCACATGTATAATTTTAGTCATTTTTCTTGTTCTGAAAAATGAGTTTACAGTAAATGGCAATGTGTATCAATAAGATCTAGGCAGGATTATTTTAATTAAATACAAAGTTTGCAAGGAAATGTCTTCACATCCTGACAAATAAGTAAAGTTTGTGATGATGCTACTAGTTTCCTTCTTGGAGGCTTCCACCTACTAAAAAGTGGCAATAGTGCCCCTAAGCGAGAACGTCTATTTCATACTTTCCTCTAAAAACCATTTCATTAGTGTTTATGCAAGTCAGACCATAATTAACAGCATTTGCTAAAAATTCCATCTATCCTGAAAGTTGAATTACATATGCCATTCTGAATTTTATTTCCATGATAGAGGCTAGCAAAAAAAAAAAAACAATACAATTGTTACAGCTAGGAAGAGAGGGGGTTCTTCTGCTACTTTATAATCAGAAACACATTAATGTAGTTCTGAATGGTAAGATTTGGCACAATTCCTAGAAATTAATGCCAGAAAGTGGTAGATAGGAATTTAATTTCTCCTACACTAGGTTGCCTTTTGGTAGTCATGAAATGAAGAAAAGAAAAAACCTTGCCAAAATGTTAGTAGAAAGAAAAAGCCATCAATGGTTCAAATAATCCACTACTAAACATAGTTTTCAGAAGAGATGCAAGAAAACAACTACTTAATGCAGCTGATGAGGCAGTGAAACACAGGTACACCCAAACAGGAGCTGGAACCGCTCTCATCCTTTTCCACCGAGGAACCTTCTAAGGACAGAGATGCAACTTCATATTTGAATGCTTACTGCATTCACAAACTTCCTGGAGTTTATTACTATTGACTCAAATAAGGTCATTTACTTTGCCCAAGTTTTTAAAATTTGCATTTTAAATAACTTATATAGGCATCAGTAAAAATTCTCAAAGACCCCCACAGCAATATTTTGCTAATTATTTAAGGGATTTTAGTAAGGAGATACAGTAATGAAAATAAGTTCTTAAGCTAAAGCTTTCAGGCAAAATAAACTACTACGAAAACTAAACTTTACTGATTTACAAGCCAAAAAAAAACCTCATTTCACAAATGATAAAGATAATAGAACTTTTAATTTATTGAAATTTAAAACAAGATTTTAGCAGAAAACTGTCTAAACTGAAAATGTTTAATTTCAAAAATCAAAGATTTACAGGGGCGCCTGAGTGGCTCAGTCGTTAAGCGAATGCCTTCGGCTCAGGTCATGATCCCAGGGTCCTGGGATCGAGCCCTGCATCGGGCTCTCTGTTCAGCGGGGAGCCTGCTTCTCCCTCTCCCACTCTGCCTGCTTGTGTTCCCTCTCTCACTGTCTCTCTCTGTCAAATAAATAAATAAAATCTTAAAAAAAAAAAATTAAAGATTTACATATTAAGACTTTGAATCTCATCTTTTGTTGTGTTACCCTTAAGACAATTATTTTCTCAAAATTAAGACACTTAAAAATACAGGAAAAAAGGTTTCCATAAAATCTTTAGATATGAACTAAAATCCTACTTCTCTATCTCAATACTAACATCCAAAAAAGAATAGTAATTTCCAAAACTATTCTTTATTATACTATGGAATATATACAGTACACAGAATATACTATAATTTTTTCTGTGGGAACTAATCAGTATTTTTTTTTAAAGGGGTATCTTCAACAATACAATTTTGTTATTTAGACAATTTTTCCAACTTCCTAGCGAGAAAAGTTATGTGATTTGCTGAAGAACCCAATTTTAAGAACTGGGACATCAAGTTCTGTAATTTCCAACAATGGACATGGAGTGCTAAAGATATGATGTTAGTTAGAGATGTTTTAATGATCCTCACTGCAGCTCCTAACTTCTGGTTGCCCTGGACACCTCAACACCGTTGGACTCATGGAGCTTCACTCCTAATCTAACACAATTCACCTTCAACAGACCGCCAGCCAGAAAAGAGGCTGAAGTCCTACATCCTCTAGGGCTCTGCCCCAATACTCTTTAAAGTCCCAAACCTTAAATACTAAGTTTTGGATTCAATGTCTTTATCCAAGGACTTGCTTCTTGATTCATCATCACCTCTGAACAATGTGTAGGTCCCTCTGTTCTGTGCATGTACTCAAGGCTTAGGTTGATTGTGGGACCCTTTAAAAGAGAGCAGTGTGTTTTAAGCAGTCTTCTCCCAGTTTTCATTATTAAATTGGATTATTTGATAATCACCGGAAAGATATTACTTAGAGAATTTGTAATATTTGATCTTGCTACTTCTACAACATTTAGTACACGGAAGTATTCAAGACATAGTGGTAGGCTCAGGATTTCCCCTCTAAGGCCAGCCACAAACATAAATGTACTCATAAAGACACTGTAACACAAACTTTCTTTAAAAGTTTCACATGTTTAAATATCACAGGATTTAAAAATTATCTCCAAGGTACAGTCGCATGAAAAAATTACCTACATTGTACCTCAACAAAAATACGGCCAACGCTAATTTATAGTGTATCTTTCAGTCACTTCATCCACCTTTCAGGTTTCCAGAGATGAGACAACTGACCAGCGTTCACAGCGGTACCATTTCCAAGAGAAGACCATTTTCATTGCCCGTTTTACAAATAAAATATTAAGGGTGAGGCTCTGGTATTTCATTTCAAACAGTAATGGCTTATTTTTCCAACCACGAAAATGTTTACATTCTCCGTAAGAATCCCAGCGATGGTCGTCTTAAGCACAGATCCCCAAATCCTTACACGCCTTCAGCTTGAACGTATTTCAACCAGTTCCCATAATTACTACAATATTACTATTATCTTAGTCTCACTGCCAAAAACCCAGCTGCAGGCTAACTATGCAAGAATAAGACACTGTTGAAAGGACTCAAAAAAAATTTCTTTTTATCCTTAGTGCATTAAGCTAAATCGGGCAATTAAATAAAACCACGCAACACATACCCCCCCACCCCCCCACCCACCCCCTCCTGAGAAAGAAAGGAACCGAGAGAGAGAGAGAGAGAGAAACAGCAAGTCTCCCACCTCAGCCGGCGGCAGAGCGGGGGGCTGGGGTGGGAAGAGGGGGAAACCGGGAGGCACAATGAACCAACGAGGTCTCCGGGGCTACCGCCCGGAGAACCGCAGGGTCACAGTGAGCTGAGCGCCAGCAGCGGGGAAGGAGCCGGCCCGGGCCCGGGTTCGAGGCGCGCCTGCTCAGCCTCGAGGGCCAGTGGGTCCTCATTCCGGGTCGGGCGATGCCCCCGGGGTCCCCGAGGACTGCCCTCTTCCTCCTCCTTCCCCTCCCCCCTTTGTTTTTGAGGCCGGCTGCCCTCCCCAAGCCCCCCTGCGCGCTCCAGCCTTGAGCCCCTCCGCCTCTCCGAGGCCCCCGAACCCACCGCCCTCCCCACCTCCCACGAACCCCCCGGCCTCATATCCCCCAAGCCCCCCCCGTTTACCCGAGCCCCCGGCCTCCCCACAGGTCCGTCCTCCACCCATCGCCGTCCCCCCGGAGCCCGCCCCCTCGTCGCCCCCCTCGCGTGGCCTCTCCGTGGCCCCGGCCGCCCCACGCCCTCGCCCTCCCGGAGCCCCCGGTCCGCCCCGCAGCGCCGTCCCCCCGGGGCCCCTCCCTCGGCCTCCCCACATCCTCGGCCCCCGTGCCGCGCGCGGGAGGGGCCCGTCCCCGCCGCCTCCGCCGGCCGGACCGGCTGGCGGCCCCGCTCGGCCCTCCGCCCGCGGGCCGCGGCCCGGCCCACCCCCAGCTCCAGGAGTCGGCCCGCCCGCGCCCCGGCCCGCGCCCCGGCCCCGCACTCACTCGGACCGCGCCGTGCGCCGGGAGGCGAGGGCAGACCGCTGCGAGGCGGCGCCGCGAACGGACGGGCGGCGCTCCCCCCCACGCCTCACGCCGCGGGCGCACAGCGGACCCAGCCCGGCGGCGGCGGCGGCGGCGGCGGCGGCGGCGGCGGGCTTGCGCCCTCGGGGCCGTGCTGCGTCGGCGCGGGCCGCGCGTGCGCGGCGACCGGCTGAGGCGCGCGCCCCCGCCACGGCGCGCGCCCGGCCGCGTCCCCGCGCCAAGCTTCCGCCTCCCCGGAGGACCGGGCATGCGCCCGGCGGCCCGCGCATGCCCAGCACGCCACGGGGCTCCGCTCTTGAGAGCGCGCCGGAGAACGGCGCCGGGCGTTCGGGACGGCCGGGCCGGGGGAAGCCTCGGCGCGGGGCTGGGAGGGGCGGCCCGCCGGCGGCACTCCGGACCGGCGGGGTCGGCCCGCCCTCGGGGAAGCCCTCCCGCCCTCTGCCCTGCCCGCCCCCCCCCAGCCCGTGCGCGGCCCTTTGCAGGGCCTCCGTCGCCCGCCGCCCGCAGTCCGGCCCCAGGGCTCAAACCCGCGCTGCCGCGCCCCGCCGTGGGCCGGGGCCTGGCCCGAGTCCTCGCGGGTGCCCTCGCCAGGCTTCCCGCTCGCCCCGAGGACTTAGGTGTCCCGGGCCCCCTGCGCACAGGGAAAGTGAGGCGCAGGGGTGCGTCGAGTGGCATCCCAGCTGATGCTGGGCTGTACTTAGATTGGGTCCTGGAAGATGGCCTGAAGCGCGCTGTGGGAGGCGGCTGGACATAGGCAGATGGGGGCCTGCGCGCTGGGCTTGGGGCTTGAGAAGGACGAGGGGAGGACCCCCGGGACTTGGGAGTCCCCAGGCCCAGGGCGGCTGAGCAGAGCGAGGGCACGCAGTGCAGGGGGTAAAAACGCACTCGTCCAGGGGCTCCTTAGGAGCCCGGTGTTTGTTCTTTAAGCAGCAGGAGCCTGGGGAGGGTTTCAAGCAGGAAGTAATATGATTTGTGTTCTTTAAAAAAAAGAGAAAACGACAACCTTGCGGTAGGAACTGAAACCAGAAGCAGGGCAACTTTCATTTTTATGGTATCACTTTGATCCTCACCGCAAGCCAGGAGGTAGGTCAGGCACGCACTCCTTTTGAAAGGTGAACTTCCTGAAGCTCAGAAAGGTAACCCACCATTCCGTTCTCAGAAGCTATCATTTGACTCTAGTTGTAACAGAAGCAGGTGAAATAAAGCGATTTTGCGTAGTAAGAGTTTTACTATATATGCTTTTATTGTTCTTTAATGAAATGTATTACGGTTATTGGTTGCATCTTTTTTAAACTAAATTGAAGTTTGCAAGGAAGCGTGTCTGTGAATGTGAGCCCCAGGGCTTTGGTACCCAGTGTTTGCTCCACCTGGAACTCTCTTCCCTCTGCGTGGAGCTTCTGACTCTCTCACGTCCTTTAGGCTTGCGTGTCACCTCATTAGATGCCAACTGACCACTCTCTGTGTAATAGGAACCACCCACCACCTTCCATGCTTTCACACACACACCCCACCCCCTGACTCTGCTCTGTTGTTCTCCAAAGCAGCTATTGTCCGCCACAGCCCTACACTGTGCACTTATTTATTTCTTGATAGTGTGTCCCCCTCCCAGAACGTTAGATTCATTAAAGCAGGGACTTTGTTCACTTCTGGGTCCCTGGCACATAATGCGATACTTGTGGAGTAACTGAGTGCAGCTTTGGGTGATGAGAAGTAAGAAACTGTTATTTAAAGTATAAGAAGGGAGTGGGAGTCAGGGAAGGGAGTGGAGGGACAAAGGGGATTACAGTGAGGAGATCTTGGCGGGGCAGCGGGGGCGCTCTGTGTGGTAGACTAAAAATGGCCACCAACGTGTTGACGCTCCCCACAAGAGATAGAATCTAGGCATTTACCCCTTGAATGTGGATGGCTCTTGTAACTTGCTTTGACCAAGAAAATGTGTCACAAGGGATGTGGCGTGACTTCTGAGCCCAAGCTGCCGGAGATGGTATGGCTTTCGTGTCAACTTCTAAAGTCCAGGCAGGCCTGCTGAGGAGGCCGCGTGGAAGAGCACAGAGCCTCCCTGGCTGACAAGCTGCCACCTGCCAGACACGTGGGTGAGGCTGTGCTTGACCACCCAGCCCTAGCCAAGAATTCAGCCAGCACCAGAGACCCAGACGGGCCAGCACAACCGTGGAGCTGCACCCAGCCCAAAATGGCCCACCGGAGAATCAGGAGCAAATGAAATACTTGTGGTTTTAAGCCTTTAGATTTTGGCGTAGTCACACAGCCACAGATAACCGATACATTCGATTACCTCAGCCTTACATGGTGCATTCAAAACTGATGTTCTTGAGGGCAGCTTTGTTCTGCCTAACGAAAGCAGAAAATCAGGCAAGGGCAAGAGGAAAAAGTGATGCCAACAGGTACAAAGAGGAGGAAAGGTAGACGTAGGAAACGAGCAATAGGTTGTCCAACAGAGACCCTCCTTATCCCCTGAGCATACTTTGTGGTGCCTAAGAGCTCAGGTTCCGGAGTCCATGAACAGTGGAGCAGACCCAGTTCAAGTTCAACTGTTCACCAGGGCCTGGCGCTGAGCAGGTTGCATAATGTCATTGCTCATCTGTTAATAGAGGTTATAGAGAACCTCCATAACATTAGGTTGTTGTGGGGAGAAAATGAACCATTCTCGTAAAACACTCAGCAGAGTGCTTGGCACAATATACCCTCAATAAGTGTTATTGATTAGCAATAGCATTACTGTATGGGTTACTGTTAATTCTTGATCACGGAGGGGGTATTCAGAGGACCACCCAGACTGTAGTGTTAACAAAAGCTGATTTTACCCGGCTCTGTGGGTCAGATGCTGTATCGACGGTCTCAAACTTCACAGCAACCCCGCAGCGTGGACATGTTAACATCACCCTCATTTTATCGTTGCAAAAACCGTGACAATGGAGAAAGAAAGTGATGGGACAGGTAGCAGGGCTGGAACTCAAAGCTACAGTCGGTCCCACTGCAAAGCATGCACTCCTCCCTCTCCCTGTGCAGCCTCTGCTATACTAAGACCCCACACAAAAAAACAAAACACACAAGACCATGTGGCTTCTCCCCTTCCTGCACTGCGCCAGACAGGCTGAGCACTGACCTTATGTGGGAAGCATTCAGGAAGGGCTTCCTGTGTATTGGCAAAGCAGCTGCGCAAACCCTGGGAGCACTTCCCCCTTGAAATGCACCCTCCCACCTCCCCAGTCTGATGAGGGCTTGTCCCTAGGAGGGACTTGCTCATAGTGGAAACAGAAACACACTTTAAGGCTGTGGGTGGATGCACACTAAGGAGGATGCACGGTAAGAAGCTGATGTCACCGAGGAGACACCGAAGCCCAAATCATTGCCCACCTCATGGCGCCGACCAGACTGCAGATCCACACAGAGAAACTGGAACGAGAAAAAGTGGGATCCAGGAGACTGGTGCCTGGGGCACTTGTAGATCCAGTCGGATGAGCCGCTGAGAGATATGGGTGTGCCACACGGCCTCCAGGGATGCCGGCCCTCAGGTGTTAAGAATCAGGAGACTGGTCAGGGAAGAGGGACACGCTGCAGCAGAACAGAGAGAGGAGTCTGACCGACCCGGTTCAGCTCGCCCACGTGACAGCCCAGGGGCCCTAAGCAGGCCGCTCTACCTCTCTGAGTCTCAACTTCCTCATCTGCGGAATGGGGGGAAGGGGGAGGCAGGCTGCAAGAGCAGAAGGGAAGGGGGCAGGGGGCACCCCTAGGCAAGATGCTCAGAGGAGAAGCAGGGCAAGGGAGGGACAGTTTGAGGGACTGGAAGCCAGATTCCCTCCTTCAACGTCTGGCCAGTGTAAAGGCAAGATGGGCCACAACCACCACGTGCACCTTGCCCAGAAGAGAACATTCTGAACTTTCAGGAGAACTAGGCTATTGATGCAGGTTTTACTATATGTTTGAAATTTCACTTTCCGTAGGAATTTAATGTAGGGATGTAGGAATGTGGAACTATTAACACCTCCGAGGAGAGAGAGGAAGGGTCATGCCCCCCAGGGGTGCCTACAGTGGGTGCACCTCTCTTGAGGGGACATGTGAACAGTTTGCCCCAGGTGTGGGTTCATCCTCAGCTGGAGCTAGGGGTGCCCCAGACACTCCTGCTCACACAGATCTCTCTACTCCTTGCCCTGCCATGGCATCCCAGGTCCCTTTGATACAGAGAACACTAGCTGGACCTCTCCCAGGCCCCGTCAGGAGGCTCAGCCCTAGGGGCTAAGCTGCCTATAGCAGGGAACAGAGGACCTCATCTATGGGGCTCTCCAGGGATAATGCTCCCTGGTCTGGGCCTCACACCCACTTCCCACTACTCACAACCCCTCCCCCAACACACAGAGGGGAAACCCTTTCCCTGTATAGTGCTCAGCAGGTCCCGGACAGGGACAACCCCCCATCCTCCTAACCTGAAATGCCCCTTTGGTCTGGAAAACTTGCAGCTGGCACTCAAATTAGCATCCGTCCAGAGTGCCCACATACCTGCACCAGCCTCTAGAAAAGAAAAGGTCTACATTTTCTGGGAAATTCTGCCCCAAACCATTGGTTATCTCATTTAATTGTCACAACTCCTCGGATAAGTGCTATTAAATGCATTTTCCAGGTGGGTAAACTGAGGCCAGAAGTTGCTGTCTACCCAGCTCAAGTCCACCCAGCATGTAAGTGGCAGAGACAAGATTCGAACCCAGCTTCTGTGGTTCCAAGGCTGTGCTCTCAGTGACTGAGCTCCTTGGCTTCCCAAGTCAGGGGGCGACCAGGACGGAGTCCAGAGGAGGCTCTCTTGCCTTCTCCCGAGGGTGGATAAGGAGTGCGTCCTGGTTTAGCAAAAATGATGCAGTTGCAGGGCCTCCCCTGGACCTGCTCCTATCGTGGGCTGGACGAAAGTCATTATCATTGCTTTGATCAGCATTAAATCCCCACTAAAGCAATGTCCTCTCTGCAAATTTTGTGGGGGTCATGCTCAGCGCTGAAGGCTGCTGCCTTCCGGTGTCTGCAAGGTGAACAGACAGCCCTTGAAGGTTTCCCACTTCTATCTTCTTGGCTTTTTTTTTTCTCTCCCAAGTTCCAGTTTCCTCTCGCCACTCTCTATCT